CCTCTCTCGCCGATCGTCTCGTGGCTGGATGAACCTCTTTGCCGGAGAGATGAACGAAGAGGATCGACCGGAATCGCTGAGGAACGAGATCCGTGCAACGCGGAAAGCACGGGAGAGAGAGAGAGAGGAGAGAAAGCCCCCAGGGACCCCTCGTTGCACAATTATCTCATTTGCCGATCGGACCCTCCCACGTGTTAATTTGCTTGTTGGTTAACCCGGCGTCCCTCTTATCGTTTATTTCGTTCTTGCCTTTCGTGGAACCGTCCGCGCCACCACCCGACCTCCCCCCTCCGATCTCCTCCTCTCGCCGCTGTTCGTCGTCCACGTTCTTTTCCCTCCTTCTGACCTCATTCTTCTTTTCCCCGGCCTTCTCTTCCCTTGTCCTCGAAATCGCGGCTGCGATCGGTTTCGCGCGAACGGGGACGATCGAGCGTTCCACGCTCCTCTGCGACCGGCGATCGGCCGATTTTCGGTTTAACATCGGGATTATCGAGCAGTTGACGCTAGATTTAACGACTGTTGCTCGGTTCGTTCTGTTGTTCCTCGGACGGTTCGTTTAGGTTTTGGAAATTAGATTGCGGCAATGATAATTGACGTACTTTTGCTAAGTAACGTTTATGAGGTTATTATTTATTTCAATACGCGTGAAATTGACGCGTTAACACTAGGTTCACGGGCGTTTATTATACACTTGATTCTATTATTCCTGAAAGAATAGATGCTCGTTTATTTAGATTGTAGAAAGTGGACATTTGATAGTAGGTAATTGGGGTACACGTGAGTGTGATCGCATCGATCAAAATCGGCGTGAACATTTATAAATTAATATTTCTAAAATCCAATCTGCGTCAATTTGACGCGTTCCGTAAACCTAGTGTTAAACTTAGCGTTCGTCTTGACGTTTCTAAGTATCTTTGTAGGAACTACGAGCGTTCGTTTATTGGGATTTCAATGATTGTGTATCGGTGGTTGTGATTGTGGTTGTGCATCAGTTTAGATAGTACTGAACAGTACAGCTACAGTACAGCTTCGTTAATGATTTCTTGGAGACGCGTTTGTAGCTTTTCGGTAACTGCAAGAAGAAGTTATGAATGGATCGTTTTGGTTTCATCTGGTAGTTTTAGTGTTAAAATGATCTTGGCGTATTTAAATGAAATGGATTATTTGTAATTTGGTCGGTTGACTGAAAGATCGACGTTCGAAGATTTTAAAGTTCCATCGTGATAACATATTCAATATTATCATTGCTATATTATCATATCATTACTGTTGCAAATATTATATGTATTCTGTGACTTTCTAAGTTCATATCGCGAGCAATCTTGACTTTTATTCCAATATCGTTACGTTGGAATCAGTGGATAACCTCGAGAAGTAAATTTTTGTCCAATTATCGGAATTCCGTTGTGCGACTAATTATTCGTGTTATCGGAATTCTCGAGACGTTACGAATAAAATTCTATTTGTAACCTCTGTGTCGGTTGGTATCGAACTTGTTCGGTGCTCGATCGAATTTTTCCGGTACAACCGTTCGACGAGATATAAAACAAAGGCACAAGGACCGATAAGGAATCATTCATCGGCTTTTTACAATCATCGTGTCGGTTATCGCGATGCCATCTCGAGAACGATCTGTTGTGCAACGATAAAGCTCGATAAGTCGGCTACACCATGATTAGGAGTACGAGTAGGTTAGATGTCATCGATCTGGTCATTGATCGATATCGTGGCCTCATCACGGGTTATCTTCTCATGGACTTTGCCTCCTCAACTGTTTATTCATCTCGTACATCTTCGATTTCGATGGAATCGTTCCGATCCAATCGGTAGACAGTTATTCGTGCATTCGCAACGCTTAAAATTATTTCAATCTATTCAAAATTATTCTCAGAAGAAACTTCGTTCGCACTCCAGTAAAAAGGAAACCCAAAAGAATCGACAATTTTATACTCAATCCAATAATCTATCGTATTAACAAATAAAAATCTATATTTACTATCTGCAGCAAATCAGAACATTCAATTAAAGATTGCTTTAAATTCTCCGGTATCTAATCAGAGATGTTCAAAGCAATAACTATATAATATCATTAAAAGTGTTATCGTTAATTATTATTACTCTCCCCTAATATTATTATCAATATTACAAACGTCTATGACTTTAAATACTGTAAATATCTGGCATAGTTATAAATCTTCCAAAGACTTAATATTGTTACAAATATTATCCATTCGTTTCCTATAACACGTTTCTTCCTGCAACTCCGAGCAACTCGTAACCGTTCGCGTGAACGAATCCGCGCGCTGTAATTTATCTAACACGGAAAGATCGATGAATGATGATCCACGAGGCGGAAAGCGAGAGGGCGATACTGGAAGCGACGAATTCGTGGAACAAAAGAGGCGGGCAGAAAGCTGGAAGCACGGGCGGAAAGAGGCAACGCACGACGACGCCGGGCGACACAGGGAGGAAGTGACGTCACGGCAAAGTAACGAGGCTCGCTTAGCCGCGATAAGCCGGTAATCGCGCGATCTTAATGAACTCCTCCCATTAACGCGGCTCCGAGGCCGCGACCGGCTAACGTTCGACGAAACCCGCTCTTTTTCTCTCTGTTTGCCTGCTTTCGATCACCCTCGTCGGATCGAGGGTCGGGGCTCTGAGCGCGGAGCAGCGGGGGAGGATGGGACCGGCGAAATCACGTCGCGATCGATCACGTGGAAAAAAAGATCGGCGGAAAAGGAACTCGCGTTTTCAGCCGAATTCACCGACCGTAATCGCGGAAGATAAATTTGAAAGATACAACGATTGCGATCTCGGAATGGTATTGTATTTTATGGTCTCGGAGTTTACGGCTGTTGAATGTTGAAATTTAATTGTGTACGTTTTTAACGAAAGCACCGTGACCTATGAATTTTATTTTAGTTTAATTCTATTCGATTTACTCTGAGTTTTATTGCATTTTCGGTCTCGAACTTCGCTGTTGAACGTTGAAATTCAATTGTGTACTGTGTTTTTAATAAGAATATCGTGAGCTATGAATTTTATTTGAATTTAATTTAATCTGATTTATTCTGAGGTATTTTAATTTAATTTATTTTGAATTCTATTGTATTTTACGATGGCGAAGTTCACGGTTACTGAACGTTCAAATTTAATCGCGCATCATTTTATCAACGAATTTGTGGTCTAGAAATTTCCGTGGTATAATTAGAAGAATGGGATTGTACGGCGTGATATTTCGAGGAAGAAAAGGAATCGTTAGGTTCCTTTCGTTAATACAATATTTAATGAAAGGGAGTGAGTTTATATCGTTTCGCGGATCGAACATTCAGGATCTCGGTTCTGTGTTTTGCGCTTTACAAGGCCCGGCGAGATGAACAATGTTGATTCGATTCAATGGAAGTTTCAAAGTATCACCTGCGGTGTTGGAAGTTTCTTTTTATCGATGCAGAACTTGCGGATAATTTTCATTACGTTGATTTTCTCGTAGATTGCCGACGCGCGGAACGAGTTGAAGTGTCAGTGGGTTTTAATCGTTCCTTCGCCGTGCGGTTTCTTTCGCGTTCGCCCGATATTTTTCAGTCGACGAAAATGTCACGCTTGACAGTAATGAGGTATAATCACGCGTAAGTGGGAAATTTCGAAGTTTACACGAGATAATAGTTGCGGACGATACCGCGATAATCAATCGACAACGCCGGCGAAACGGAGCATCGTGTTTTGAACTCGTGTATCACTTGTAACGCGTCGTGAAACGATCACTTGCGACATTGTACGTTATATTCAAGAACCGCGTCATTAATTATTGGTGAATCGCGGTCGATCGAGTCCCGCCGACAGCATAATTTTCTGTGTTATCGAGAATATTCGCGGAAAATGTGTTCCACGATAATTGTATCGACGACATGTAACATAAGAGAATAATTGCATAAGATTGAAAAGAATTTTTCAAACATTTTCCGAGGTTTGTAATGACTCAAACTATGGCCATCATGAAAATAAACATAGGTGGGAAATTAGAAATCTATAGAGCGATAAAAGACATACGAATGAGGTTTATTTTTGGTGCAATAACGTATGAAAATCCAATATTCTTAGACTGATCCATCGATCATTGGAATATAATCCTTGAAAACCCTAATCGATCACTTCGGAACAAGGGAACAATTTTTTTCGTCGATTCGAACATTTCTCGTGGCGAAGATAATGCACAAACACGCAGATATCCATCTACCTATCTATTTAGTACAAGCTATTCCTCGAGATTCGATTTTCTCCACTTCAACGTGAATTTATCAATTTCCCCGTAACTGCGAGTAAAATAAAACACCCAAACGTTCATTTGCACGTCGCAGATGAAGAAAAAAGGAAAAGATTTTCAACGAACACGTAGAAACGATTATAAATCTTCCAAGATCAGTCGAAATAACAAACTCACTTACTCGTTAAGACATTAAAACAGCGAACCGTAATAGACTCTTAATTTTCGAAGATCAATTTGCATAGCAAACCTACTTATCTAAAAAATCTAAAACAATCAACTCCAATCTCAATCCTTAAAACTAACCATACCATTTTTCCTACCGTAACTAGTCAAACAACTGGCTACAAAATAGAGATAAACGAATTAGATGATACATTTTTTTCAGATGGAAACAGAAACAAAAGGAAGGATGAGAATCGAGAAACCAATTATCGGATAATATAGGAACTCATGAAATTAAATGGACAAAAGGAAACGCAGAATTTTAATTCGTTGCGGACGAAGATTAGCACAGAAAACAGTCAGCGCATGGAGCTAAATTATACATCGATGACTTAGATAATTAAAAAAAGGAAGCTACGCACTGAATCATCTGTTTGGGACTTAGCGTTCCAAATATGAAAATTTCATCTCGAAATGTCATTCGTCCGCAACGGTTAAATCCCATCACCGGTTCCCGGTACGGTTATGAAATCGATCAAAGATCGATCCGAATACCGAGTAAACACTCACTTACTTGCCAATGAAAGGGTGGTTTCCGCCCTCAGCTGGCTAGCCCTGCGCTGCCTCCACAACAGAATGCTCATATCGGAGTTCTCCGTTCCCCGATCGTGTCGCTCGCTCACTAAACCGGTTCCAAGTATTTCCACAGAACGGTAACGCACAGACTGGTCCGAGAACGCGCAGCTCGTAGCATCGTAATTTCGTCGTCGATCTCGCTGACGTTCCGATCGAATTTGTCGGCCGGTCCGTGCGCGCGTCGCTCGTGGCGCACGCGATTTCGGGTGAGTCAACGTTCGCCGGCGACGACGGTCTCGATTTTTCAAGGTGGCCGTCGATCAGATTGATCACGTTCGCTAGATCGTCGCGAGATAGCCGCGTCACCTTATCGTCACGAGCTGCGCGGGGCCGTATCGTCGATCGCGGGCCTCGATCACGATCCAGGCGGATCGCGGCGCGCCGGCTGCATCGCGATCGATCTCGCGGCGATCGATCTCCCACACCGTCCCCGATCGCGAGTCAACAAATCCGAGACCCGTCTGCAAGACGTCTGCACACCGTCTAGATCGCACGATTAATCGATGATTAAGATTGAACGCCGCTTTTGTTTCGGGGGCAGGGATTTCCGCGCGCGATCCTTTAATTACTCGGATCGAGTTCTGCGCTTATGGAACCGCGCTCCCGGCGAATCGGTCGAATGACACTTGTAAACTTCCATCAATCGTTGACTTTATCCGGATCGCTGCGATCGGTGCTCATTATCTCCTCGTGACACGTTCGAGTTCTTTAATCGGCAGAGAGAGAGGTGTACTCCGAATGCAATTGCTCGTTACTTTTAACGCTATTCCGTTCGGCTGTTATCGGGCCGAGACACGAATGCGCGATAACGGAAACAATCTGTGTAGATTTCAAACTTTACATCGATCGTATCGACGCGTAAGTGCCGAGTTCGGAATAGTCCGTTCAACTTGCTTTTGTCCACTCGGTTTAATCCTGTCTTCGAGTCCTTATATAATCTTCGATAGTCTTGAATAAACCGAACGATTCGATCTTCGAGCTTCTGTGACACGGACCACGTTTCATCTCCTAGTATTCCCGATGATCAACAACAGCATCCACTGTTTCCCGACCTTCGTGTCGTCTTCAAGAAATTAAGCCGCAAAATCTTACAGCATCGAGAGACTGGACCACAGAACCACTTCAATGAACGTACACCGTCTTCGACATCGTTTTCAGCAGCATCGATCGAGAAATCCAATCTTCATCGACTGTTCTCGCAGGGAAAGGATCCAAGAAGCTAGCTTCCAGTGTTCACCAATTTCTTCTCCATCTTCGACGTCCAGTTTCTCGTGTTTCGGGGGCTGCGTCCGAGAGTTTCGACCAAAAGCTTATGTCTTCCGAGCGATGTGTGCAAGCCGAACCCCTGGACGGTTAGGCGAGGGGTGGAACAGCGAACCTAATTTCGCCTGGGAAGCAGCTAGCCACGAAGCGGCCCGATAGGCCGATTGTCGTCGTTGCAACGGCGAACGCGGGAATAAACGAGCCGTGCGGATAATCCGCGTATCGCGGCCGGCCTGCGCTCGTTCCGACAGCTCCGGGGACCAACTCTTATCGGCAGCTAGCCCGATAAGCCGGTACGATCGGCATCTTATCGATTGTGCACACGCGCGACGCCGATTCGGCCCCGGAAACCCAGTAATTGCGGATTGCTGGGAGGCTCGGCCGAATTAGGTGAGCGGTTTTCTCGGAACTTCTTAGCAGCGATCACGTCTTAGATCGAAATGATCTAAAGTAGCCTTCCTTGGGTACAGCAGAAGGGTTTAGATCATTGGACAAAGGATGTTTCAAGTATCATCTAGCAATTTAGTAACTTAGTATTAGCTTAGGGGATGAGATGTTGGGCCTGGAGGTTTTACGTTGTCTTTGAGTACGTTAGGTTCATTAGAGGGTTGAAAATTGAAGAAATATTCTATGATATATTCAAGAAGAATATTCTCTAAAGGCGAGAGTGTTCGTGAAGAATTTCGAATGTTTCATACAGTGGTTCTCAATCGGTGTGTCACGACAGTTTATTATTCTCTATGAATCAGTCTCAGCTCCGACGAATATTGTATACACTGGATAAGAAACGTACGCTGATTCCAGCTCCCGGCTTAGGCGAGCGCTAGCGGTCGATTTTTCAACACTTTGCGAAGCATAACATAAGCAATCGTGCTCTATCTTCCGCTGGCAATGGAGATCGTGCTCCGTTTCAGAAAATAACAGAGAACGATCATGCTTTTCTTTCGTGCTATGAATATTGCAAATGGATTCCCTGGAATAAATTCGTGTGCACCCTAACTCCGGACCGTCTTATTCCGGCATCGGCGTGGTCTCGATTTCACAGGGCGGACTTCCTTTATTTTACAAAATAAAACGACCCGCCCGCCTGTCTTCCGTGATACGGCCATCCAACTTTCCGAGGAGACGAATCGCCTTTGTTTTATCGCGCGAGGGGTAGCGCGGCTTCCAGCGTCGTCCGCCGAACGCGCACTGTACACTTTCACCGATGATCGAGTCACAGTCCTTGGCATTTAAAAGACGGAATAAAACAATCTGCTCGCCAGGCTTAATTAATTAACTAATTCATTATAGGTTCGCCTTAAGATCCACCTCCACCGGGAACGATTCGGTGGACTTAAAGCTACGAGTCTTCTATTAAACTCTAAACTCCCAGATCACTGCTAATTCCCGTGGAGTATCCCACACACTCCTACACTCGATTAAAACTCGAAATCAAATCCTCCGCTTTACCAATCCACTATAACCCCACTTTCACTTGGGCCAAGGAGGTTCTTAAACCAAACATTCGACTCCCAGTGCTAACTCCTACACTCGCAAACTGCAGACCAATCCAAATATACCAATTCAAAATTCATCACAAAACATACTTCATCATACACTTCCAAACATCAAAAATCCATTCCCATAATCATACACATCCCCTATTCCCCGATCACTGCTAAGTATCCCCCAGAGTCTACCACTTCGTGCCTTCTAAACACGTGTAACAAAGAGACATAACAAGCTCCTAATGAAATATCCTTTAACGAACAACGGATGACCCTTGCGGCGCGCGAATCGCCCGACAGATCTCGATCCCCCGTAGATCCCTGTAGCTCCCAGGATATATCGCGTAGGCCGGCCGCGCTCGTCGAGTCGGAAAGCTCCTTCCGACAGACTGTTTCAGCGCGAAGGGTAAGACGAAACCGCAGCGAGATGCTCGCTCCTGCGGGGAAGCACTATCACTGGTTTCCAAGCGGCACGGAGACCCATAGCAATGGCTACCTGTTATCACTCTCCTCTCTCTCTCTCTCTCTCACACACATACACACACTCTCTCTCTTCTCCGCTTCCGTCCCGACCAGCTTTTCTCCGGCGTCCTCTCCTTCTCTCTTCCGTGGCAGCCCGGCTCTCCGCGTTCTGCTAGCTCACGATAATGCCCCGGCAAACATTCCGCTTTTCCCTTTTGCGTCTAAGCGGCGGATTCGACTGGACAAACGGTGTATTTTCGTCGACAGGCCGCGAAACGAGCGTTCGCGCCGGCAACTATCGCAGTTCACCGCGCTCGTCCTTCCCTGCTCTCGCCGAGAACGCTGCCGGTTATTTATTCAGCGCTGACTGGCCGCGGAGGATGCGTCCATTCCGCGATTAGCGAGCACGCCGAGAGCGGGACTACGGATTATTAATTGTGATTTGTGGCGTGCCCGACGTGTGTACGATCTTCGCGTTTAGATGTTCGCTGGAATTCACAATTGTAATGGTAATTGGTTTTAATTGTGTCACTGTCCCGGTGATTTATGCGTCGCGCATGGTAATAGGGGATCGCGCACGGCGAAGCCTGGGGGATTATTAACTCGGATTTTTCGAGTGTTTTATACGATCCCTCGCGTTTAGAAGTTACTCGGGCTTTCCAATTAGTTTTAATTGTGTCACTGATTCAGCGATTCACGAATTGCGCCGGGTAATTAGCGGACGCGTGGAACAAGGACGGGGATTGTTAATTATGATTTGTAAGGTGTTTAGCATATATACGATGTTTGCGTTTAGAGGATACTTGGAATTCGTAATTGTAATGATAATTGGTTTTAATTGTGTCACTGGCTGATCGATTTATGCATCCTCTATGGTAATCGGTTATTATGTAAAGTTAGAATACGGATTGTTAATCGCGATGCGTTTAACGTGCATTGTTAGCGGTTAGGTGTTCCTTGGAATATGAATTCCGATTCGATTATGAAACGGCAATAACAATTAACAATAACAATTATGTCACCGTCTGATAAGACGTAGAATTATCCTATACTCGTATATTGTATCAATTTCACATCGCTTCGGAGGCAAATAATATTGCACTCCATATTTACACGAGCTGCGCCCCTCGTTACTCATTGAAAGTGACAGGAACGTTCGGCCATGTTGCACACATTAATCCCTTACAATCTAAAGTGCATCCAGATAATACTTCTTAACACTCCACTTCACGTAATATCCACGGTGCTCCATTTTATCTAATCCTTTGAACCCGCGTATCTATCAATTGCCGCAAGACAATTCATCAATTACAAAGTTCAGCCCCACTATCTCGGAACCCTTCCCGTTCTTTTTTCCACTGAATTTTTTATTCAATCTCCAATACCCGAAATTCCTGTCGTCGTCCTCTGTCCGATCATACTCGATAACATTTCGAAAACAAAAACTCCAGTAGAAACTGTATCAATTATCTATTCACTATACTGACATCGACGCGTTGATTTCGATTTTGATCGCCGCGCGATTTCATAGAGCAAAGTACACAAAATGAAAGGAAACAGAACATTAAATCATTTCATTGAGTTACCTTATTATTATTGCACGTTCCTCTAGCTGAATGTATATTTATAATATAGAAATGTTTTCAAATAACCATCGTTTAATTGAGTGAACTGCAGTAACTCGGTTGGTCGATTCAACGCGTTCACTGCCATAATATTAACACAGTGCGTACCGGCTAATTTGATAAAACTGAATTGTGCGGATGGCAATTTTCACTGAAAAATAGGAAAACTCAGACATCATGTTATATAATACATTTTACATAGATAATCGATTCGAATGAAATTTTATATTTTTTTTAATGCCGTGGTATTCAGCGAACTTGCATAATTGTCTTTACATAAAAACAAGATTTCTCGTTACCAGTACGCAATCCGTTAATATCTACGTCCAATACAAACTAAACTAATCTCTCGAATACTTGGAAACCCACAGCAATTCCCAACAAAACAAAAACCTACGAACATCTCAACGCAGAAGAGAAGTCCAACAGAATTCCCCCCGAATATCCCGAAATCTACATCATCGCCCAATCTAAAAATCTAAACAACACCACCCAGTACTAAG